TCCTGCCGGCCAAATTGCCGGCCAATTTTGGCTGGAAAAATTAAAACTATTTTTAATTATTTAATTATGAGGGCAAATTGGTCATTTTAGAGTCTTCTTCTTCACTTCCTTCAGTTCTCGCTCCTCTCGTTGCGACTCCATCGCCATCGCCTTCCTCCACTGCAGAAGCTGAGTCGTCCCCTGTTTCCGCCGCTTCTCCGGTGTCCAGTGTCGCCGCCACCGCCGCTCCCTCGCCTTCAATCGCCATGCCTCCGCCGTCTCCATCGTCCACTACCGCCACTGCTATCCTTAACTTCGTATGGTCTATAACGATCGACATTATCGTGTTAGTTGCTTTGTTTTGATCGAGTAACCTCTGTTCCCTAGACGACAGGTCGCAAACGGAGCCGGTGACTTTGAAGCCTTTTCCAGAAGCGCCACATTCAAACCTCCTATGCTAACTTATTAACATACTACCGTAATCCATATCACATCAATAATCAATAATAATAATAATCTGTTTCCCATTTTCATAAATAGACAGTCATCCCCCGGTACAGACCACATATGTAAACCTTTCCAAAACTCCTTGGATAAAAATATTTAAATGAGGGGCATTTCACTGACCACCTCCATTGTTTCTGGTTCACATCGAAAATAAGAAGAGCTGGGGCTCCGTAACTCTGGATATATACCAGGTCATCACTGCCACTGCTAGCAAAAACATCATCAAACTCACCAAAGCCTTGGAAGTACTTGTGTGGCATACATGCAATCTCTTGCCACTCCTTCCCATTCAGACCCTATATCCCAATCCCTTTTATAATATCAGGTCGGTCTGGTTTCCCAATCCCTCCCACCATTATTAACCTCTCCTTGAGGTTCATCAAGCGACCACAAGTAAGGGAACATGGCACTGGAATGAAACTCCTCATTGGTAAACCATGGGTTGATCTGCTCATGAGATTATAAGTCACTAAGCCATGACGATTGTATGGAGGGCCACCTCCAGTAGAGTAGATCAAGAAGTACAAAACACCATCACATATTAAACTCTCATCCCCGCCTCTGCTCCGTCTGATTCCGGGAGCACGTGTGGACTGCGGCTCCGAATCCTGCCAGTTCCTCGACTCAGCTTCTGCGGCGGAGGAAGGCGATGGCGATGGAGTCGCAACGAGAGGAGCGGGAACTGAAGGAATTGAAGAAGACTCTAAAATGATCAATTTGCCCTCATAATTAAATAATTAAAAATAGTTTTAATTTTCCGGCCAAAATTGGCCGGCAATTTGGCCGGCAGGACCAAATCTGCTAATAATTACATAGTTAAAGATTTAAATTGAGAGTTTTGAAAGTCACGTACTCAAATTATCAGTGCCCTAATAGTCACAGGACCAAAAGTGCAATTTGTTCAGAAGATAATAATATACATTTTAGTCTTCAAATTTCACGGAGATAGGATGAAATTGTTAACATATGACTAAAATTAAAATTGTTATTACAATTCATGTTTTAAAACTCCAAATGCTAAAATCTAAATAAAAATTAATTTTTTAAATATTATTATTATGATTGGTGGGTTGACTCGGCAAGTTAAGCCCGTTTTGACAACTCTCTCTCTCTCTCTCTCTCTATATATATATATATATATATATATATATATATATATATATATATATATATATATATATATATATATATATTGAAAAGTTTCTGTGCGATTGAATGCTTCCCGTGCAGTTGTGCAGTTAATTAATGTGCGTGAGATTTGTACTCAATGTGCGTGAGTGTTGTGCTTAATGTGCCTGAGATTTGTACTTAGTGTGCGTGAATGTGTAAAATGCAGTAGAAAATATGGATGTCAGTTTCTTCTCCATCCGCAGTAGCCATTGCCCCCTCCCTGGTGATGATGATGCGGAGGCGGGCTATGGTGGTTAAGAATTATGGGAATAATACAACAGAAATCTACACTTAGCTGGTGTGCAAATTTTGCTGTGCGTGCGTCATATATATAAACATTCAACTGCACTGAAGGTAGCTGATAATCCAGAATCCATGGCCAAATTGAAGGAAGAAGTAACAAGAAGCTTGGGCGTTAATGTGCGTGAGTTTTCTGTTCTGCTTCCTTCTGAGCTCGTAATTCTGAACTACTCATGCACATTAAGCACAAATCTCACGCATATTAAGTACAATACTCGGACACATTAAGTAAACAACTCACACATATTAACATTACGCACATTAAGTACAAATCTCAGGCACATTAAGCACAACACTCACGGACATTAATTATAAACCTCACGCACATTAATCCACTGCACAACTGCACGGGAAGCAACAAATTCACCTGATCCCTTCCCTATATATATATATATATATATATATATATATATATATATATATATATATATATATATATATATATATATTTTGTTATGTTTTGTATAAACATGTTTTTTTTTTCTAGTATTGATTGACAAGTGACATATATTTTTGCAGGAGTTAATTCCATTTTTGGTTATAGATTTATATGTGACAGTCCATTTTTAGTCTTTTTATGAGAAGATTCCATTTTGGTCCTAGTATTATTATGACATGACCAATTTTAGTCCTTCATCAACCAAATCATTGAAATGTCGTTAAATACAAGGACATTTTGATCTTTTTTAATACAAAGTGCATCGACTTGTTATATTTTTTAGGAATAAGGGTCAAATAGGCCACTCAAGTGCACACCAACATGCAATTAGGCCATCCAACTCAAAAAGAATGTAATTGGGTCCTTGAACAACACAAACTTATGCAATTTGATCCAAAATTTACTTTTTTACCTGAATAGTTACTAATTTAAAAATAAATTTTTAACAATAATTTTTAATTAAAATAACTATTTAACATTAAAAAGATTTAAAAAAAAAAAAAAAAAAAAACCGCCGGAGACGAAGAAGTCTTTGTCCCCGACGGGTCGCTTTGTCTCCTGGTCGGAGACGAAGTTACCTTCGTCGTCTCCTATGGGGTACCTTCGTCTCTATGGCTCTCCGGCTATGGAGACGAAGAGACCTTCATCGTCGGCTATGGGGTACCTTCGTCTCTATGGCTCTCCGGCTATGGAGACGAAGAGACCTTCGCCTCCATGGCCTAGGGACGAAGGTCCCTTCGTCTCCATGGTCGGAGACGACGAAGGTAACTTCGTCTCCGACCAGGAGACAAAGCGACCCGCCGGGGACAAAGACCTCTTCGTCTCCGGCGGTTTTTTTTTTAATTTTTTTTTTTAATTTTTTTAATTTCTTTATTTTAGATATTTATTTTAATTAAAATTATTATAAAAAAATATATTTAAATTTAATAACCTCCTATTCAGGTGAACAAGTAATTTTGGGTTAAATTGCATAAGTTTGTGTTGTTCAAGGATCCAATTGCATTCTTTTTGAGTTGGATGGCCTAATTGCATGTTGGTGTGTAGTTGAGTGGCCTATTTGACCCTTATTCCTATTTTTTATGTTTATGTTTTTTTTTTTAAAAAAAAAAATCATAATTGAAGACTGAAATGCCCTTGTATTTAAGGGTATTTAAACTATTTTGTTAATAGATGATCAAAATTGGTCATGTCACAATAATACTAGAACCAAAATGGGATGTTCTGATTTAAAAAAAAAAATATATGGACTATCACCTATAAATTCAGGATCAAAAATGAAATTAACTCTATTTGCAGTTATGCATTTATATATGAGATTGTGATAAAATTTTACCATGAGAATATAATTTTCTCTTTCTATAATAGTTTAGATTTTCATCCAAAATAACTTATGTCATCATGATAATGACTAAGAGTTAATTCCACCAGAATTTCTCGTTTTTGCCATTTAACATCCAGACTATTATTTTTTTGGATACTTTTAGTCATTCTTATGATTTTTTCTATATTTAGTAAGTGTATTTTTGTCTTTTTAATTTATATTTTTATTTTGTTATTTTTATGATTTCAACCAGTTTAATTGGTTTAGAACTTTATGTAATCTATGATTTTTAGTAATCATATTTTTCAACCGGTTTTTAGTAAAGTCTTAAACCAAGTAAATTGATTGAAACTGAAAAAAAATAATAAAACAAAAATATGAAGAGACAAAAACGCTTAAAAATAGGAAAAATCATGAGAAGGACTAAAAGTGTCAAAAAAAAAACAATAGTCTAGAATGTTAAATGACAAAAACAATAGTTGGAACTAAATTTGAAATTTTCACCGAAAACAAGCGATCTCTGGTGGAATTAACTCTAATGGCTAAATACGCCACTTTTGTGAGTAATAAGGGGGGTTGGGGTTCAACCTTGGACGAATAAGGGGTACTATTGCAACTCAATGTTAATTAGGAGTGAAAATTACACTGCTCATTAGAACAAGGACTAAATGTGCCAACTTGGTGACTAATTACATGGTACTGTTACAACTCCATATTAATTTTGGATGAAAATTACACTTATACTATAGCTTAATGACTAAAATTATAATTTTTCCCTGATTGTATTTATTTAGTTGGAAAAATTACAATTTAACCCATGAATTATATTATATCAATGGATTCAATCTTTATGCTATAAATATTACTCTTTTCATTCCATTTTATGCGTTTGATTCAGTTAACAATACTTGATTAAAATAATTTATGCTATAAATATCACCTCAATCCATATTTTTCCACTCGAGGCCTCAACAGATTACCTCAACTTTGGCTCTTGCTATGCTTGGCCTTGATTTCCTTGTCGTCGCAGCATCTACAGCCAATAATCGACCCACTGGTGCACATATGCGCTTTACACTACTGGAAATTATGAAATTTCCGATCACCTGAAAGTGATCTTAAATCAAGTCGAAAGCCCTGTTCCGACCACTTTTAGTATCCGGAAAAATCTTTATTGCTATTTCCGACCACTTTTTGCTATCGAATTGATTTAAAATCACTTTCAGGTGGTCGGAAATTCAATAATTTCCAGCAGTGTTAGAATCTATTGATATGGAAGCCTAGGTAATTGAATCCATATTGCTGCAAATGGCATGTCTCGTCTAGGGCTCCAATCCGACGTCCATCTGGAGAACCGCACAAGTTTTCCTCCAAATATTCCTTGATTTCTAGCCAAGACCTTATTGCATTCCCACTCCGCCTCAAATCGAATTAGTGTGTTCTTTGCATTTAGTACTCCAATTCGCACGTTTGTTGACAGAGCAAACGCATCTCGGAACTCAGCCCTAATCAAGGTGAGTTTATCTTCTTTCTCTGCCAATTCTTTCCATTCTACCTCTGCGATTTGCACAACTAAACACCCCTGTCTTAATCTACTGGTTGAATTTCCCGAATTTGGAAGAATTGAATCAACATTTTGTACCTGCGTGATCTTTGCTGTTTATGTTGATTTGTCTTGTTGTACAATGTCTACGAAAGAGCGCAATAGAGTTGCAGGGAGCCGGCGACCTTGATTCAGAGCATCTCCAGTATCAACTTGATTTGTATTTGCTTCGGTTGTTTTTCCTATATTTTCTGGATCGATCGAGACAGTGGCTAGATCTCCGATATGATTTTGCATCTCCGGAGCGGCATCTACAACGATCATAGTGAAAGTATCATTTTGCCTTCAAAAAAGACGGCCAGCTCACATCCAAATTGACGGAGGATCAAATCGGATACAAAATCAATAGTTGAGAACTTAATTGGTCAAAATTAGTAGTCGATGACCAATTTAGTACTTTCGCAATAGTCGATAACCAAAACGGTAATTAACTCTTTTTCTTATTTAATTTGTTGTAACATTAATTTAGGGATAATAATCAAATTAATTTTTGAACTTATTGAAGATGGCACTTATAGACCATTGAACTTTTTTATAAAAAAAATCAAATAAAGCATCAAACTTAGAAAGAAAAAAAAAAAGAAGAGATGAAATTGACCTATTTTTATTTGTTATCGATAGGTTACCCTTCCAAATTAAACTTTCTTTCCTAGTTAGGTTTGAAAATTCAAACAAAAATTCAAATTGTTGAGCTTGCTCTTAGATCTCATTAACATAATCAAACACTTAAAGTGAGATAGATGGAGTATTTAAGAATGTATATATGCTAGTTGTTTGTAGTAGACTAGCAAAACTTTCCTTTGATTATACATAAAATAATGTGTATTTTGACCATTGTATAATTGATTTTTGTAAATACTTAGGATGTAAATTGTATATTTTTAGACTCGGGTCCATCTTACAAGGTGCTGAGTCTACAGAATAATTTGCCTACTTCTGCGTAGTATTTTGAGAAATGTTAAAATCTCTTACATATGATGATATATAGGAACATCTATTTTTAAAAAGAAAAAAAAATCTAAGTTTGAAAGTACAAGTAAATCTCAAGTGAGAAAAATTAATATTTTATTGACTATGATTTATTTGTGTTAGATTTTAGAAATATCTACAAACAAATAAATTGAAATGGAATAAGGGTCAAATATGTCATCGAACTGCACATGATAATGCAATTAGGCCACTGAACCTAAAAACCTTACAATTAGGTCCCTAAACTAACCAAATTCATGCCATTCCTCCAATTTGCAGGTTTCCAATAGGTCATCACAATTTTTTTTTTAAATAAATTTTAAAAAATAATTATTTAAAATTAATTTTTTTTTTTTTTTAAAAACAAAACTTTCGGGAGTTTCGGCCGGTTTCTTCGTCTCCATGAACGGAGACGGAGACGAGGAAATTGAGACGAAGCTTCGTCTAGACGGAGACGTCTCCATGGCCGGAGACGAAGAAATTCTTCGTCTCCGGCCGAAAGTTCTTTTATTTATTTATTTATTTATTTTAATTTTAAATAATTATTTTTTTAAAATTTATTTTTTTAAAAAAAAATAATTTGAAATGACCTGTTGAAAACCTGTAAATTGGAGGAATTGTATAAATTTGGTTAATTTAGAGATATAATTGTTAGTTTTTTAAGTACAGTGACCTAATTGCATTATCGTGTGCAATTAAATGACCTATTTTAACCTTATTCCATTGAAATTTGTTGCATAACACTGAAGATGATCAGGGGGCTTTTCATGTGCATGTGAGGTGTTACATCCTAGATGAATTGGAGATTTGGAGTAGGTTTGAAATAGATAACAAACCACATTTTCAATTTCACCCGTTCAAATGATCAAATTATTCCAATTCAATTAAGACGACTAATAATAATAATAATAATAATAATAATAATAATAATAATAATAATAATAATAATAATAATAATAATAATAATAATAATAATAATAATAATAATAATATTATTATTATTATTATTATTATTATTAATTATTAATATTATTATAACAACAACAATAATAATAATATACTGTTACAACTAAAATATACAATTTACATATTATCACCTCTAAACATATCAAATTTTGTATAATTTGCCCATGTACCAATTTGCTTAGCTACCTAACAAAAGCTCACAAGTGCACTGTGAAGTGTGAACTAATCATGCTTCTGTCATTACAACCATGCGTTGCAACAAGAGAAAAGTATAGAAGCCCGTATAACAATAACTCATTGGTTCCGTAGGAGTATTTGAAAAAGAGAGTAAAATTCAAATCTTGATATGGAGAACGTAAGAATCATGTTCAAAGTTGACAAATTTATTGTGCAATGTGCAAGAGTTGGAGCCACGAATCAGGACAGGGAAGTAAGATGATAACCATTGTAGATGCCCTTTATATTGTTTGATTATATTTACTTTAATTTTTTTTTTTTACAGATACTACAATGTAATAGAGCCAGTAATATTTAATTTTTTTTTTAAAAAAATAAATTTTATAAAAAAATACATTTATCAATATCAATTTTTCAAATTGTTGTAAGCTAGCACACTAACTACAGAGTTAAAACTAATTGATTGTCATATTCTACTTAAAATCAATTTGGTGATAAGGATATGTTGACATTAAACATTTAACTATTGTCCTTTAATAAGCGACAACATCACATCTCGAATTGAGTAAGGGCTGAACTCGGTCCACCGGAATAACGCCCAACAATTTTCTTTTTCGTTAATTTTTTTTTTTAGATTATAAAACGTATTTATATTCATATCGATAAGTTTGGCATGTGAAATTGGGATATTTTTGTACTTTTCCCCAATTATTTTTGTTTTCCCATTTTGAATTTTGAGGCTTTGTTGTGAAAGAAGAAGTTTTTGTGAAGGAAAATATTACATGTATTTTTATTCTCAATTTTTACTTTCAAACACAAAATTACATTTGTATTATGATTCACATGAAAAAATTAATTTATTAGTATTTATCACATCAGAGAGTAAAATTTCCTATATTATCATAAAGTTAGCAATACTATACGTGGTCCTCACGCCTAGCTAACTACTTTTTCTTCTAGTAGAAGTAAGTCATTAATTAAGTAGTCATGGTGGTGGGGACCTATGTAGATTTTGACATTCTGTTGATGTATGTAGATGCAGAAAACAAACACGAATAATTCAAACGTATTTGCGATATACTTTTTTCTTTTTTGAAATTATTTGTATACTTAGATAACTTCTTTCTCGTGGGAATACTCAGAAGGAGTCGTACTAATATTCATGAGAGATTGTGTTGGTGTTGAGTTTACATGTATGATTTAATTGATCGATTGTTTCTCAGTATCTAATCAAAAACCTTAATTGTAAAGGTTAACCATAACTTTTTGTATAGTTACAATTCAGAACCAGTTTGTAACTTTGTATAGTACAGTGCACGGTTCGATTTTGAACCTTTAGTTAAACTGAACTTCGATTAGTCTAATAATTGCTAAGCTAACTTGTTTTCTTTCCTCCTATCCAAATAAAAGTAAGCATAATAACAATGAAAAGAGTTATACTACATAGACTCTCAATTTCTACTCAATCACTTTACTCCCTAATGTGACAGGATAAGTTATTTTTATTCTATGAGTTCTAAGTAAAATGTCAACATAAAAAAAATGGGTGAAAGAGTAGAATTTGGGAGTTCAATTAGTATTTTTCTCCTTGAGGTGCACCAGGCACGTGCACTCCACAGCCCACGGCCGCGCCAGAAGAGAATTGAGAACAATCCATCGCACGTCACATGTCCTTTGGTGCATGTAAATATGTTATATGTGCAAGTAGTTGGTGCACCTATACAAGTAAAAAATTGCATCTAAAATCACTTACTAGTGCGCCTACTTTCACCTACAAATGCACCTAGTTATAACTATAGATGCACCTAAATCTGAACACACACTGGATGATTTTTAATTTTCTTTTGGACAAGCAGTTCGCACCTGAATGCGATCATATATATATAGTTTTTGAGATTTTGTTTTTTTCTCTTCCCTCTCATCTTCTATTTTCTAGTTATACGGGGATTAGAACTCCTAAAAAACGCGGGCTCTTAATGCGAAATTGTATACAATGACATTTTTGAATTGTCACATCCATAGGGCTTCTCTCCTTTGTCTTTTTCCAAATTCCAATGTCTTCCGTTGCGAAAAGATGTTGACAGACTCAGTGCTTTTGATGCATTGAATAAATTATTAATGGCGCATACTATTTTTATTTTTTATTTTTTATTTTTTAAATTTTGAAGTAATAGTGCATTGCTTTGTTGTGTACAGTAGTGTTTACGAATATACGACCCTATTCCCAGTCCTAGTAGAGAAAACGGGGTGCTCACAACTTACACTATTTCCCTTTTTCTGTGAAGGATCTTTAACCAAACAAAACTTCCTCGTTAAGGGAAGGACCTCTTTATAAACATCCTCTTCCGCCCAAAGGCCCCAAACAAAGATTGTGTGGGGTGATTGGGAGAATCAAGAAATCGGCATTTACACTTTGGTAGTACTGTGAGTGTTCGCCAACCTACTCTTATTCAAATTTCATTCTTTAAAGATTGTTCTTTTTCATCAGTTTATGCATGTTTTTAGTGATGGGTATGTCTACTTTTTAGTTTATTCCTTGGTATTCCTGAATTTCTGCAATGTGAGATTCTGTTCTTGGTTTCCTTTTTGAATGGCTTAACAGTTGGGGAAGGATAAGGAAGATATTCAGCAATGGAGCCAGTTATGAATCCTACCTCTGAAATCTCAGAGCTGCAGCCTGATCCTGTGCCTTTTGCTAGATCGTCAGTATCTTGTATATGTGAATAGTTTATGCATTTTTGTTTTCTTGAATGAGGCTTTTAGTTTAATTTTGTTTGTTGGGTTGGGATTAGATATCAGTTGGAAGCATTGGAAAAGGCCATCCGGCAGAACACTATTGTGTTCTTGGAGACTGGGTCTGGGAAGACCCTTATAGCCATCATGCTTTTGCGCAGCTTTGCCCATCTTATTCGGAAGCCTTCTCCTTATATAGCAGTGTTCTTGGTTCCCACTGTTGTCTTGGTTACTCAGGTAAGGATAAATTATCTCATAATTCAAGTTTATAGTACAAATGTTTTGTATGCTCTTGTTTATATGATTTTGTAAAATTGTTTCTGCTTCACAGATGTTTTGCTGTTCAAACTTCTGAAATCTGTCCCTATTTTGGCTGACTATTATTTTTTTTTTTTGGGTTTTAAATTTAATGGTTATGATTAAACTACTAGCAAGGTGAAGCTATAAGGAAGCATACTGACCTGAAAATTGGAAAATATTGGGGAGAAATGGGCGTTGATTACTGGGATGCCAAGATGTGGGTGCAGCAAGTGCAGAACTTTGAGGTGTGTAATACTTAAGACCAAGCAACTCTAATTTGTTTATGAGTATATTTTAAGCCATTCTTATGCTTCTGATGAATTATGGTTTTGGGTGATAAAATATTTGGAAAAGTAACAGTGGATATTCCCAGTAACATATTGAG